AGTACTCCACCACCTTCCCCACCTCCCCACCCTTCCCAGAGAAGAACGGGAGACAACGGCGGCGGGGAAGTTCTTCCGACCGCAACGCGGCGGCGGAGGAGAACCATCCCCCGTCGCCGCCGTACATCAGCCCAGCGTAGGGCTTGAGGGAAGTAGGGGTCTCTCAGACAGCGGCGGTGACCAAACACCCACCGCCGCCACCAACTGATCTGAGAAACCCCTGGGACGGTATTCCTCTTACGGCCAATTTCACAATATGTAGTAAACCAAAAGGTTATGTTAACTATAACATGGAAATTAACTAAAACATATTGTTTCACAAACTGATAGTTAAACAAACCAAAGGTTATTTATACCTATATTAGGTTGGCCTCACTGTTCCGGCACAGTAATTTAATTCCGGTATTTTAGCCAATTTTAGCAATCGGATAATATGTACACACGATATGTACACGCGATACTAGGTTATACGTTTAATGTATGCCCGAGCATACAATACGTATTTAATATGTGCAATATATGCAATTTTCGTGCAATACTTATATAAATAATTTGCAGCCATGGTAAGTAATAAATTAAACATTAATTTTTTTATAATATACAATAATTAAAGATTTGGATATTATATTTTTGTATCTAAATAACCTCATTTGTTGTTGCAGCAATCTCAATCTCCAGAAATAATTACACAAAAGGCAGAAAAGCGAGCAGCTAATTTTTCTAAGTATGAAGAGCAGTTATTAATCAGTCTCGTAGAAAAGTATAAAAAAGTTATCGAATCTAAAAAGAGTAATTCTGTAACTTGGAAAGACAAAGAAACAGCTTGGCTAAAAATTGAATGTGAATTTAACAGCAAAAACAATGATAATACTTTCAGAAGTGTTAAGCATTTAAAAGAAAAATACAATTTAAAAAAAAATACTAAAAAAAAATTTACAATAGAAAAAATGAATATTAGTAAAACTGGTGGAGGATCTTATACGCCAATATCAGTGACTGATATTGACTTAACGATAAAGGAAATATTAGGCCCTCAAGTTTCCGGATTACAAAACTCTTATGATTGCGACTCACAATTTATGAGTAAGTACTTAAAAATAATGTTTACATATTTTAATTTATATTTATTGTTTTTTAATAATTTGTTACCCTTCAGTGATAGATGAATCTTCAGAAACCAACTGTGTAAAAAATCCTTCAACCAGTGTTTCTACCAATTCTGATCATGATTACGTGTTTGAAATAGAGGTGGATAAACAAGGTTAGTTTTAGCAATGTATATATGTATATATAATATACAATCACATTCCAGTGAAAAATGACCATCAAATTGATGTAATTTGCATCAATTTGATGTGAATTTAATATCAATTTAATGGATCACTTTTTATTAGGATATGTTAATAAGTTTTGAGCTGTATATATATATATAATATAATCTTAGATTATTCCAGTACTTAAATGTTAGGAAACAAAGAAAACGAAGAAACAGAGATTGAAAAAGAAAGAGAGGTCGAAGATAGCTCATTTACAAATGATTGGACTACTTATTGTAGCAAAAACTTAAAAAAGCCTGTGTCAAAGAAGCTAATTGTTAATAATTTAGATAAAAATTGTTTAATGTGTGTACATATTAGTGATTTAAAAATACAAAATTTAAAATAATGCATTCGCAATGATAGAAGCAATATAATAAAATAAAACATGATCAAATAATGAACCAAAAATGTTACATGTATGAAGTAAAATATAATTGTTTTCTTTTTCTAATAAAAGATTATTATTTTTCAGGAAAGACAAAAGAAACAGATAAACATTCCTTAAAGAAACAGTTTGAGGAAGTAAATAATAATGTCATTAAGGAGAAATTAAATTTCATACAACTGCAAAAAAAATTATTTTTAGAAGATATAAGCTAAAAATGGAAATTTTAAAATTAAAAAAAGAAATTAAGGAAAAAAACTTGATATTCTTAGAAAAATGTAAGAAAAAGTGCATGTGATATTTTTTGTTTCTGCGATTACTTTTTATGTTTCGTTATATTGCATTTATATTGTGAATGCATTTATATTTTAAATCTTTTTTGTTCCTTTGATTGTTTAAAAAAGTTCACGTTTGATTATATTGTATTATCTTGAAAGCAATATTTAATATTATAATACGTCATTATTTGTTTATAATACAAATGTTGTTTTGAATGCATTATGCATATTACAAATACGATATTTTAGTTCTCATTTGTTTTCAAATCTTGCTTTTTTAGTTCCTATTTTATATGCAAGTTGTGTTACTTTTTGATAAGAAATAGTTATTTATTGTATCAAACATTTGCATTAATAGATTTATAATTTTTATTTTTTAACATAATTTTAAATTTAATTATTAGCATTTATTTTGCTTTATTTTAACTTTAGTTATTGCAGCTGCCAAAAAGTTATGCAATAAATTCGCTGTTCAGTCCCTTTGTCATTATAATTATTTTAGATGAAAGATTTATTTGTATGAATAACATACAAGATAGTTTTGTTTAGAATTTTGATAAAGAAAGATGTATGAAGTTTAGTTTAATATATGAAAAGTTGTAATTTATTTTTGTATTACTACACAATAAAATTTATATTTAAGGAAATTTTATTATGCGCTCTCAAATCTGTTAACTCCTAAATCCTGGAATTAAAACATTTAATTAACTAAATTTAATTGTAGTCTTATTTTCGCAAGTACAAAGATAATGATTATGAAACTGGTAAATTATGTAAATATAAATATTTAATCCAAAGTTTTGTTAAAAATTGTGGC